TTCAGCTTTCAGATGATGTATAAATCTCAATTTAAATAAATTGACCCTTAAGACACTTAAGTTTTGTCACAGGGTCACATTTTTGGTTATTTAAACTTATTTACCCAGTTATGTTATTTTTATTTTCAACAAGTTTTATTCGTTTTTTTTTCTCTGTCTAAAACTAAATTAAAATGAGAAATGTAGCTTTGGCAACTAGCTGAAATAAAATAAGTTTATATATATTTTGAATTTCTGTTTTCAATTTAATTTTAAGGTTTTAATTTTGTTTTGTTGTTTTTTTTAAACACGTCAATATAGGTTTTATAAAAAAAATGTATTCAAGCTTTAGTTATTATTAGTATTTTAATTAGGTTTTAGCTTTTGTATTTTAAATCATTTGAATAGTTTTTAATCATTTTGTTTTGTGTTTTTGTAATTGTTATTAGTTTTTCTTTTCTTTTTAATTTGTCTATGTTAAAATGTAATAAAAATTAGATTTTAGATAATTGTAGTAATTTTTACTTAAGTTTACTTTTTTTTATATGTATTGTTTTTTTTATATATATGTATTTTTTTGTTGTTGTTGTTAACAAAAATGATGACTAAAACAGCTCAAGCTGGTTTCTAAATAATAATTACACTGCGTTGCTTCCCTGAAACCAAAGCCTGTGAAAAAAACACCAGAGCCCTCGTCTCCGATCAAAACGGTGGATGACGATGAAGACGATGAGGATGAGGAGACGCCTCCACCTGTTGTTGCACCACGACCAGAACACACCAAGAGCGTAAGAAGCCGTTAAAAGTAATAGTTCACCTAAAAATAAGTATAGTGTATATAAAAAAACTACTATTTGGTTATTTACGGTGTTCATTTGGTATTGAGATACCATTATTTTCATTTTATTTGAGATTTTCCCCCAAATTTTTTTTATTATTTTTTACATTTTTAAGTATTTTTTAAAATGTCTATGTAGTTGAACACTAGCATTATTACGTGAATTTTGAGATATTGCATCAAAAAAAATTTGAGCTGGTAGTATTGAGATTAGTTTTTGGGGAATCGCATATAAAAAAAAAATAAAATGTTTTTTTTTTTTTTTACAAATCTTTAGTCATTTTTTAGGGATTTTTTTTTGTTGTAGTAATTTTCAGTAGTTTTTGTTCTTTTAAAATGTGCATGTAGTTTTTATAAATTTTTACAATTTCCAATTTTGTTACTTTAGTACAACTAAATGAAAAATTAAGCTAAAAAAAAAAAGTGCGTTTTATTTCAAGTAACGAAAATGCATTTTTATAGTTTTGGTTTCAGTTAACCATAATAACCCTGGTTATTTCAGGTATATACTCGACCATCGGTCATCGACCCCATTCCTGCTCCAGTGACGTCTCCAGACAGCGAGGTCGCATCAAAGCCCACCGATCGACAGAGACCCAAAAAGGGCAAGATGACCGATGAGGAGATCATGGACAAGCTCCGTACGTCACCGCATAAGAAGTTCTTTGCGCAATTTCACTGCTTTGTGAGATTCAAACCACATGTCCTCTCTTTCATATCCAACAGGAACCATAGTCAGTATTGGCGATCCAAAAAAGAAATATACACGATACGAGAAGATCGGACAAGGGTAGGTCCCACAATTTTGCGCACCATATTATTCTTCCATTCATGGATGGAGATCAATAATTGCGTCTTTCCACAGAGCTTCGGGAACCGTGTTCACCGCCATCGACGTCGCTACTGGACAGGAGGTAATGCAAGAGAGCGAAACGGATTCGTTGTTGTTTGTTCTTCCACGGTTTCGTCATCTCAACACGTTTCTGTCTCTCAGGTGGCCATCAAACAGATCAACCTGCAGAAGCAGCCCAAGAAAGAGCTAATCATCAACGAAATTCTCGTCATGAAGGAGCTAAAGAATCCCAACATTGTCAACTTCTTAGACAGGTAA